GACTTCCATGCTTCTTGTGCTTGGCCATTCAGCTCATGATGTGCTGACAGATTTTAGTCACCTTACCACTGCAAATCACTTTTTGCAGCCACAATGCTAAAAGAGTGCAGGAAATGCCTTCTTTTTAACCAATAAAAATGTCCAAAAAATATGAGTTCAAATTAAGAAAAATTGGATTGGGTAGTTGTTGTTGTTTTCAACAAAAATGTCCCCACTAGCTCGTGAGAGGTCTGTTAAAAAACCTAATTGCTGATATTGATAACATGAAAAGATGCAGGGTGTACATTTTCAAGTAATTGATTACCTTATTTCACAGTTATTCACTTGCTATACTTAGATATTGTAAGTACATGTACCATCTTAAATATTCCATTTACACTAAATGGATTTCTTTCATTGGATTTTCACTTCTTTAGATGTAATGCCTGTAATTTAATGTATATACTATAGTTATTTATGAATATTCATTAAGTTACAATAGTAAGTATTTTGTTATTCTTATATTTTAACAGTGCTTCCATGGGTCAGGCACCCAGGATTTGGGCTTTATGGCATACCTTAATATATAACATCATTCTGGAATGAGCTAAAATCCAATTTTAGTGTTTTCAGGTTGAACTAAAATTCCACACAAAGTTTTATGAAAAATTCGCAGATTCAATGACACTATCACAAGTTTTTGACTACCATGGTACGCAGTAGTAAACTTAGTTTTTTTCTGAATGTCCACCTTAGAAGATGTACCTGTGGTGTTGTGTTGTTAACTTACCTTCTCAGCCTATTGACTACGATTAAGCATAGTTTGTGGTGTTCTTGGCTGTTTGTTTGCATTCTTGTTCATTGTTTTAAGTGTAGATAGGAAGGCTTTGACCTTAGTGTCACTGGGATAATTCTCATCACCTTAATCAATGGAACAATTCTTCTTGAACTCCACAAGAGCCTGAGCAGGTGCAATTGAGTAATTGGATGCTGCAACAATTTCAGTAATGATCATTCGATATAGCTTCTCAATACCTCTGGATTTCAATTGCAATGTAGCATGCTTCTTGTACTTTGCTGTCAAAGACGTAATTTGCGTTTTAATCTCAGTGTCACTTGGCAAGTCCAGTTGACTGGGGTATTTCTATTGTAGCTCTTCAAGCATTCTTCCTGATCCCATTTTGTTACGCTTGTCATTAATGCCTCTCATAAACATCTCATCAGTATCATCTTTGAAATTGTCACTGTATTTCACTCCATAGACAAGACCATACACAGTTTGCTTTGCCCAATCGTGCGAGATTGTTTCTGGGATGA